GAAAGGAAATACATAACAGTATATTAAAGAAATCATGGATCTCCTCATTCATGTTTAAAACAAATTTATTACAATGTAAGAAACCCTGAATAGCATGAATTTTTTGTAATGATTTAAGGCTCCTGGCACTTGAGTTAAAAATGTCTCTCAATAAATAACTTTCCCTTGAAAACACAGCAAATTAATATAGTTTACCATTTCCAAAGTTATATAAATCCAAGAGGCTTAAATCAACAGTATGCTGGATAAGATTACTGTTGCTCAGCCAGAGCCTGGTATCGCAGCTCAGAAGGATGGAAAAAGTAGTGAAAAATGGATGGCTTTTTTTTTTTGGTCACCTTTCTCTCCCTTCCACCACCCTAGGCTATGTCTGTTCTGTGAAAGTCAGACTCATGTGAAATGGATGAAAGCAGCTGTGGCCTTTGCACACAGGTATCATTAAAACAGCGCGCGGCTACTCCGCCATCAGACTCAACAAACACTGCTCTGATATTTCCCCAAAGTGCCTCTAAGATGCACGGCCCCGCTGCTTTTGGTAGCGGCGTTTTAATTTGACTGCAGACCCAGGAACCCAGGTGTCTCCAGCTTGGCTGCCTCCAGCTCCGCCACGGCCTCCCAAGCCCAGAGCAAACTCAGGGCTCTCCCCTCTGCAGCACCGGGGGCCGTGCGAGGCGGCCGTGGCCTCAGTTGAGGTTCTACACAGCCCTGACCGTAAGGCTGCTGTGTAATTAGTCAGACGGGCCAGCACGCCGCCTTCCCTCTTCTCAGGGTTCTCCAACTCAGAAAAACCAGAACGCAATGGCTGCTCGTGCTTGGTAGGATGTGAGTAGAAATGCATATTTAATGGGTTTGTGCAAAACTACAGGGGAACTAGGTGCACGAAAAAGCCACACGCACGAACATCGGCCGACACCCCGGTGCGGGGACCCCCCAGGTGAGGCTGGGGGCCGGGCCGTGTCAAGGGGAGAGCCCACCCGTCCCCCGGGGCTGGATCCCGCTGCGTGGGGGCAGTAGGAAGGGAAGCGAAACCCCACGTGTGGCCGTAGCCCTCGGTGGGACCAGCCGGGTTTGGGCCGGCGCAGAGCTTGCCCCGAGCGCCACCCATGGAGCTCAGCAGCTCCCGGGGACAGCAGCCTGGGCACGCCTGCGCTGACGGGGATGCAGCGGCTTTGCTCAGCTGTGAGCACAGCTGGCACTGAAGAGGGCCCAGCCTTGCCCCTCTCTGCGGGGACCTTCCCGCTAGGCAGGTCACCCTGCAGGCAGCAAGACGGGCTCGGCGTCACCGGCTGAACAACCCGGGAGCCCTTCCCAATCAGCCCTGCTCTCGGCAAGGTCTTCAATGGCTTTTTATTTTATGAAGGTCTAATTTTTTTCCCTTTGCTGTCAGTGTGTCAATTTTTTTTTCCACAACATGGCTGATGACTACTTTTTTTAAACAAAGTACAGTACCGGTGACATTCTGACAGTGTCAACACCGCCAGAGTACACCCACCTGAGCTTTTCAACACGGGAAGTTAGGGCTGTTAAGAGTCAGACTGACAGCTTTGGTAAATTCAAGTCCTCTGTAGAGCAGACGACAAGAAGTTATTAGATACAGACAAGGCTTTCAGGTCACCCAGTCCATCTCCCACCCCACCTTTTAATTGTCTCTCTCACCCAAGCTATAAATAACCGACCCTTCTCATCTTGTTTCCTCATTATGTCAATTCTAGCAGTCCCTGATCATTTTTATTACTCCTCACTGAAATCCCTCCAATCTGCCAGTAAACTCTCTGGTAATGAGATCCCTGTACTGAAGGCACCAGTGCAAACAGAGGGGCACCAGACCCACTGACAAGGAGCCATTTCCTCTGCAATTTGGAGATGTCATCGCCTCCACACCTGCAGCTCAAAAGTCTTCCCGTCTGTTTTCATTGCTATCAGATACCATCACCTCGTGCTTTGTTCACTCTTCTCCTTCTGAGGGTTCCTGCTGCCTGGGTCTCCCCCAGCCCACCAAGCGTGTGTCTTTCAGATTGTTTTCAAGGTGGCTGAGTTCACAGATGCTGCACCCCCAGGTTCATGCTCCATCCCAGATTGAATCCCGCAATCCTTCTTTTTTCTGCTTGGTATTTCTACTTCACATTATTTGTTCCTCCCCACCTCTTCTAAATTTGGCAGGGTCTCTTGGTCTCACTCACTGACCTTCTGCTTCCAAGAAACAAAGTCACGATATGAAATGCAGGGAGACCAGGTACCCAGCCCAACACCTCCCAAACAAGGCTCCTGAAAGCTCCAACAGGGAAATACTGTGCGGATGAGGCCACGCCATCATTGCAGTGCAGCATCGCAGGCAGCAACAGCACCTGCTCTAGCATAAACCCTTCAAGATGCATCAAATGCTGGAGAAGGTTCAAAAACAGGCTCCCCAGATCATCCAGGGGCTGTAAAACAGGCGTGCAGACACAAGGCATGAGGGACCCCACCTCATCAAAGAGAAGGATGAACTGGGAGTTTATCACTGCGTAGGGGGGGCTGTCTGAGAACAGGGGAGCTTCACAACCTTGCTTCCGAAAGCACAACGGAGTCCAGCAGCTGGAAATTAGACAAACTCAACCTCAAAATAAGGCGGTTTCTTAGCAGCAAGGTTAATTAAACACTGGAAGATTTTGATGAAGTGACTTTAAAATTACAATGCAACTTCCTCACAGTCAGCTCCAGCTTGAGAAAGAACCAGCTTCTGTGTCTGTGAATTCATCTTGTCTTATCCTTCCTTACTCGCTCCAGCAGAGGAGAGGAGCTCCCGCATTGTCCTTAGCGCTCACGACACTCAAAACTTGGTGTCTGGACAACGGCTTTAATCAAATCAACACTTCAGGGTTTTGCCAGTGAGCAACCAGGAAAGATAACTTTTTTTGATTTTTCACTTCCCTCCTGTCTGCAGACAGGAGATCAGACAGGATGAAGTTATACTGTAAGACTGGTTATTGAATGCTATGAGTGAATAAAACGGGTTTTTTTCACATACTCAGAATGACTCCCGAATTCAGGAAACTAGGAACGTATGGCTCTCGCTGCAGCTTGTGGATTGGTTTGCTTGCTGAGACCGTCTGGGCTTCTCTCACCTCACGTATGTTAGAGCCTCACCTCCCAGTGACAACCGAGTTTCTCCACTTTAGTTCCCCAATGCCTGAAATGAAATGACCCCTTCAAAGCCACAAAATACATGACGTCTAAGAGCTTTGGCTTCTGTTGGATGGGAATGACTGGCCTATATGCTTCTGCTCTAACAGATCACAGTTCAGAGGCAAATTGTTGGTGGGTACGTCCAGCACCTTCTGCTGCGGGCACTAAAATAACTCACAGCCCATCTGATATGTGGTGCTGAACATGCTTCACCTGCAGAACCCAAAGCATGCTGTGGAGGGAGGCACAGCAGCTTCCCCAGAGCTGGGAATCAAATCAATTTCCCCCATGTCCCCGTCCTCTTGCTGCAGCTGGGATGTGGCAGCATCCCCTGTGAATGACTGTGGGAGTCATCAAGCACCAACACTGACCAGACCAAGATGGGTTCCTTGCTCTTTTCTAGATGACTTCTGCTTCCAAACACCCTCCCCAGGCATCGCAGTGAAAGCTCTGCTGCATAACCACAGCAAAGATGCTCAAGGTAGCCTGCTCTCTCACAGCCACATGGAGCCACAATATTGCCACACATTTATTGTCACTGTGAGCAGGTAAGACTTCAAGAGATGCAGGGAGCAGCTATGGATCGGGAGAGGCATTTTCCAGAGGAGAGCCACCCAGTCAGAGCAGACTTCTCTGCTTCTGCAGGTTTAAATCACCTAATTCAATATTCTGTGTTGTCTTATGTAGCATGCAGTTATGTAAATTCATAAATCATACACTAATTAGCACACAATTTCATAAATTTAGTAACAGTGAAAAAGGAGGTTTCTGACTAACCAGGCAGTGCTCTCTCCCTCTCACATGGTACAAATCCAAACACCGGCCCGGAGGTTGCATTTCAGAAAATCTCTGCTGCAACTTTTAGAGTTTAACCCCAGGCTCATGTGTGCTTTGAAGGGATATCTTTTAGATATCTCGGGCTCAATCTTTCTCAAGCATAGCTAAGTCCTTTCCTCTCCTTCCTTAACACCAAACCTCCACAGCTGATTCGATCACTGCAAATTTTGTTTTGCTTGTTTCTCCCTTAGTCAGATTCTTGTGATATCTAGCCTCACATTATTCTGTCGTCTAAGTCCACACCACCATCCCTTGCTAGCAATCAAATTCAGTCCATTCGTGGGTTATATCTAGGTTCTACCCTGTTATCCTCCTTGTGCTCTGGCCTCCCTGACTAGCTACTCTAAAGGGGAGCAGCTATGGTTAGGTCATTTCCTTCTTTCCCTGATTTACCACTTATGCTCCCCAAATACAGGAACATGATTAGGAAAAGTAGTGGGGAGTCATAAGCCTCTTCCGGTGCTTGAAGACATTTCTCACTTCAGGATATAATCACAAAATATGTCTTCATCAAATTACTGTATTTTAAAAACTCATCTCTACCTTCTGGCTCAGCTCCATTCAACCTATACCTTCTGTCTTCCTTTGGTACAGTTCTCTGCCTTGTACCCTTGTCCTTTCTTGCCTTTACCTCCATCCTTTCCTCCTTACTCTTTCACTCCATCTTTTTGTCCCAAAGCATGGTGCTGGCTCTCCCCTTCTCTTCCCTTTTGTATTCTGAACCTCTCCACTTCATGCTCCAAAAGAGGCCTTGCTCCTTCTCACAGCAAACCCCATGTCCTGGAGAGGAAGAGAAGGCTTAAAATGAGTTCCTTGTCTATCTTAGCAAATTGGAGATTCAGAATACATACATGATGATGTGGAAAGGGGAACACACTGTCAATGGCAGAACTGACATCTGAGCTGGACAAAACAAACCAGGAGATAAGTCAAACAAACAGAAGTCTGGAAGATTAAATGAAACCCCCGAATAATTTATTAGACTAAAACCTCGCATAGATATATAAATATATGCTCAAGATGGGATTCAATAGCAAGACGGGAGAGGCTAGAAGTGAAAAGGGCGTGATTACTACAGGTCCATGGTGGTGCAAAAGCAATGACTACACAAACACTCGGCAAGTGCGTGTGTATGAGCCACTCGGGAAGAACAGCGAAGGCATGGGTAGGAGCTTTAGCAGAAGTCATGTTACTCCACAAAGCCTCACGTAAAACACAGCCTGATGTGTAGCTGAAGCATATTAACTGGGAACACTCTGGACAAACAATCTATGGCTGGACTAACTCCCCAGCGGCAGCTTCCTAATACAGGACCTTAAACTTAAAAGGACACTGTCAAGTGATTGCTTTTGCTAGTTTAATTTTTGCATTTCCTCTACTGTTTTAGCAGATGGAAAACAATTCTCCTCCCAGTCCCAACTACTGATTTTGTCCTTTCCTATTTGACAATCATTGATTTTTTTTCTAAGGCTATAAATGTTTTAATAACTTCAACTTGGTAGTGCCTCATAGCAAAATATCTTTGCTTGCACTGACTGCTAAACACTATTCCTAATGCACTGCTGATAACCAGAGCAAGAGCCAGAATTATAAAAAATTATTTTTCACGGGGTCTACCAAATTAATAGCTTTTGTTGCTTCATCCACATCTCACAGACAGATTTCAACTGCCTTAATTTTGGAATTCTTTGCTTTGTAAAGGTATGCCTCCCGCGTAGCTCTGACTGATGGACAGCACCTTGAGTGCAGAGCCCACAACCCTGACTATGTCCTTTTAAAAAGAGCTACTAACAAAATATAGATTTAAGTCAAAAGTCACTCTCAGAATTAGAATTTTTAATGAACAAAATGGATCATAAGGAATCCTAAAACAGTTAAATATTGGCACCCATAAAGACCAAAGAACAGAATGCTCCCACACAGTGTTCTCGACTGGGTACACAAAGGCACCTTTCAAGACATATACACGTATTTTTTGCTGTTTCAAAAGGTCAGTTAGCACTTATTAGAAAAGGCAATTAAAGTTTCAGTCAAACTGGAAAAGAGAAGAGAAGCAATTGGACTGAAATCAGAGAACTGTTTCTTTATAAATGCCAAACCTTAACAAAATATCCCCAACAAAACCAAAAACCACCAAAGACGCCCCACCCCAAACCCTAAGATCTATGTGATGGTCATTTCTTCATGGTTTTCTACAGGTTTCCTGCTGCTCCTTGTACATTTTTCTCTCCCATCCCCTCCCTCTTCCTGTCCTCTTATAGAAGCAGACTACTCTGCCAGCAGGATGAGAAAACTGATTTCCCCACCTGCTACACTTGGGTCAGGGCATCAAATACCTCTTTGGGACTGTAAGCAGAAACCTGTTGCCTTCACATGCTCAGGGAGTAGAACAAGAGGGACATTCAACAGCAAATGGACATATTGGAAAGAACTAGAATACTTCACTGACAGCGGGACAGACCAAGCAGGGCCATTCCACGGTAGTCATTTTCTGGTCCCATAATGCTGCCACCCTCCTTTAAACTCCACCAAGCAGCTTTTAAAATTCATCTGGGATGCATTAAAGTATATCACCTAATCTGTAATTAAGACTGGGCCTGAATGAAACAGCTCAGCGTTCATCTTCCCCTTCATTCTCCTTTTGTTTTGGTGCTAGATGAGCACGGTGCTGCCAGGAGCACGTGCTAGATACCCCACGCTGATGCTCCCATGGGCCTCGTTGCCGAGTCTTGGCGGCTCCTCGCAGAGCACCACACATTGCACAGAAGCGAGCTTGTGGGAGGCAGGCAGCAGCCATACCCCAAGGATCAGCACAGCAACTTGCTGCCATTAAGATAAGCAGGGTTGCCTAAAGAGACTGTCAGGAAAGCTGTACTGGCCCACAAAGTGGTGTTTGGGAGCAAATGGCCTAGAACTTGCCCGTACTGGCTGAATTCTACCTTTCCCTCGCTGCAATTTCACTGTGCAAAATGAGTATTTTAGCCTCATATTTCTAGGAACACATGCCGGTGGCTACTGTTACAATAAAATATGAACACTGCATTGTGGAGAAAATGACCATTAATCCTGTAATCTGCAGTCATTTTTACCAATTCGGCACATTTCTTTAAATAACCGAGTACATGCAGTAGATGGAAGTGCATTTAAATAAAGTGAAATAGATACAGCATGAATAATTAAAGCCGGCAGGGAAATGTGCATTGCGAGCCGCTAGTGGAAATAATTACTGATTTGTCTTATTTACAATGGAGCCTGGATACAGGATCAAAATAGTGCAAGTTAGTGAAAATGTCTTAAGACTCTTCTTATACTACCACTACTATATATTTCATCTTGAAAAGTACATCAAATAGGTTTTGGACCACTACATTTTCTGACTGTGTTCTGCTATTTCAGGGTTAGGTTACCCAGCACATAAACTCTGTCAAAAAGCACTGATTTAAAGAGGAATATATTTCAAACGGATGCCTAGTACCTCAACCTGCAACATTGTCTATTAATGTTACTAGAGACTGTATAGTTGAGCTTACAATACACCCCCTAAAACCCCAGCAAGTCAAATATCAGAATGTTGAAGGAAAAGCAGATCATAAAATCACTGAAAAAAGTACTAAAGTGCTTGTACCTTTATAATATGCCAGGTTTTAAACAGACTTGTTTAATTAGAAAATAATCTACTTTGAACATGGTAGTTCTTGAACGTTAGGCAGTTCTCGCAAACTGCTTTGGAGCTAAAAATCGATAATGAAATATACTTCTGATATGAGGCTGGCAAAACTGACTTCAATCTACTAGAAAATGTTGTAGATTAAAAAAAATTCTATTTTAGGGTGATTACTTGGCACATGAAAGGTTTAGAAAAAAAGTTAACGCTTTCTGATTGGTCTACCCCAACAATGTCCTTGCACCATGATTACTAAATCCAAAATGAAACTGGATGCTAATTATCTATGTTTCAGAAGAGGGAAGACAAGCAGTTGTCATTCAAATAATTTAAAGATGGTACTTCAACACAACAAATCAGCAATAAAAAGATCCTAAAAATTCTACAGAAGGGTGGTAGACCAATGAGGTGTCAAATGAAGAAAATCTCCTCGAGGAGCCGGCTCTCTTCTAGCTCATCTGCTGTGCTTCTGGAGCTGCGAGGGGTCTGGTACCAAGACGGCGGCCTGTGGCTCATATGATGAGGTGTGTGCATTTTGTTCCTGTCATAAGATTCTCTGCAGAGGTGTCCTGGGGCAGATATCGGACTCATAGCTTCAACCAGGTCAAGAAGACAGGCTTCGTACCTACAGAAACACACCAAGAAAATGGAGGTCCATTAGGCATTGCAGCATCAAGCAGGAATTTAATTCAGTCTTCCTGCCTTCATAACTCAGATGAGAGCTAGATTTGTCTGATGGGGGCCACCAGCACAGGACAAATTTTGCTGTATGAGTTTCCTACGAGGAATACCAACACAGAGGTAGTGAAAAAGAGGCGAGCAAAGCATGGGTGCTCAGGTTATTTTAAACTGTTTCATCAGCTTTTCCATTTGAGGTATGTCATGTCTTAGCCACACTCCAGAGACTGAGGACAGACCTCAGAGATATGGCAGCCAAATACACTGAAGGGGTACAAGGCAGACCCACACAGGTAATGGTAAAGTGACTTATACACATGCTGCACTTTTTTGAATAGACCTCTACACTTGATTTAGTTTCCCAGGGATTTGAAAACAGCAGGAGACTTTATTATTATTGCCACAAACTACACGTGCTTCCTGTAAATCTCTGTGCACTATATGGAGTCTGTCTGGTGGAAGCACTGAAGGAATATAATCTAAGCAAGGCAATACAAAATCAAAACTTCAGGCACCAAGAGAGAAGGCCAAGGTGCTCAACATTACCCAGGCTGTCCTTTAAGTGTGAGTACAGATGTGAGGGAAGGTTGCAAGCCAATGTTAGCTGGTAACGCTAACTGAATAATGGCAGCTACTTCAGACGAGATTTCCTATTAATATTCACACGAGACAAGACCTGATCTAAATACCAGCAGAGGATTGATCATTACAATATATTTTCTCCTGTCCAATTTTAAATGTCTTAAACAATACCGTTTCCACTGCTTCCCCAAGGAGGCTGTTCTACAGTCTAAGAGATATCACTCAAGAGTTTTACCCCAAAGTCCCCTTTGTTCCATCCTGTTCTTAGCACCAACCTGCCTGATGTTCCCAACGCTGAAATAATTCACAGATTCAATGACTTTCATGCACAGAACATCATTCACAGCATCCAACCTGAGGTATCAGTGTAGCTGGTTCTCTTGTAAGCAGAAAGAGTTCATCCATAGGGTGAGGAAACATCTCAAGCCATTTCCTGCTTTGAGTCCTGGTGGAAAAGCCTCTGTTTTTCCTTACAGGACAGTGGGAGCCTAGGAGGACTAAGCAACTAAGTCAGACAGCTGGGGTGGGTTCCTCAACTCAGGTTGAAAAACTGTAGTACAAATATTGGCAACAGTGCACCGCTGTGAGATTAGCCGCGGCCAATGTATTTCCCAGAGGCAGACTGTCACTTGTGCTCTCCAGTAGCATCATGCAGCAGCAGCAGCAGGTAAAAAGACTTCCTTCCCTAAAATATCCTTCATTAGCTCCAGCGGTGAGTGTTATATCCCAGCCATCAACAGAAAACTAACCATGACAAGGTAACTCGTCGTTATGTCCAAGACACAGAATACCTCCTCAGCCCAGAGGAGTTAACTGTGGCACTGCTGGGTTAATACCGACGTTAATGGCAACTACTGGAGTTACACTATGATTGCTTGGAAAAGTCGTCTCTTGTATTTCCTTCAATTTTTTTTCTTTCTTCCAATCTGACGGTCGCCATAATTTCTAAAACATTCCAACTCAACATTACTGCCTCACAGGGCTCTCTCCTCTATTTGACTATCTAGAGATTGGTTTATTTTCCTTCTGATGTACAGCTTGCATTTCACCCAATCAGAACCCTATTTTGCAAATTTTTTTTACACATTTTAAGCTTGTCTGCCTGTCTTTCTATTATGTCTGTTTAAATCACCCATAATAGTGAAAAATGAGTGAACACCACCACCACCCACCCACCCCCCCCAAAAAAAAAAAAATAATACTGCTTTGGTTTTGTTTCAATTGGACCGTGTAAGTGTCTAACTGTAGTCAAATGTGATGTGATGCAATGTGTGCCTTACCACTACCCTAACCTAAAATTTCAGAAGGATATGGGGGGGTTTGGGTAGTCAAGCAAGACCATTTTAGAGGGGTCTGTTGTTTGCATTAGCATTCAGGAAGTACTGTCTAAAAAACTGAGGCTCCTTAAAGATATCTCCAGTGTAAGAGGGAATAAGCCACAGTGATAGTGAGAACTAGCACATAGCTATATTAGACTTTTCTCATAGGGAAAGTTTTGGACTAGACTCTATATAGATATACACAGATGCTTTGAACCCCAAAGAAACCCAGTTAACACATACACTGGTTTCATTAGCCACACCTAAAACTTCTTTTTAGATTAATCTAGTCTAGCATACAAATGCTTATCTCCTCTGACTGTAGTGCTATCATAAAATTTCAATTTCTCCAGCAGCCACATTCAATCACAGATTAGACAGGGGGAAACCAAACCAGCCAGTGCATTTATAGCAAACGTGCAGGCCCTAGATTTCAGCAGCACCTTCGAGTTCATTTCTTCTGCAAGTTTATCTAAGTTTTACAGCATTTCTGCTATCAGGAAGGCTAAATGATTTGGCAGATTACAAGCACAGCAAATAGCAAAGATTATGTAAAAGACCAGGTGTTGTAAATCAGTCTATTTGACACCACAGTTATATATGCAATAAAGTGAATGAACTCGGCTAACAGAGTGCTATCTGATAAAAAGAATGCTCCTTGCAGGTATTTAGTGTTTAATCCCATGATAATGGTTTGCCCTGGTTTGTCTAGGCAACATCAGACAGCATCTGGCTGGAGGCAGAGTAGACCTAGAATGGTTTGAAGCTTGCAAAGACAATTTTCTCAGTATTAATTTGTATCTGAATATTTAAAGAGACACAGACAGAATGCTCAAATCCTGAAATACAACTTTCTCCAAAACCAGTATATGTATTCCTTGCACGATCTGAATAAATGCATAAGTAAAAACAGGCTTCATTATTATTATTATTAATACGACACTTAATGGCTTCAGTGAAGTCAAAGCTGCAGGATCAGGCACCCAAGAGTCAGAACATTTCAAACAGGAAAACTGATCTGGCAAACTTGGTTTGTGAATACTGAATACTCTTTTAATGCAAATTAACAGCCAAGGGTGCCCTCGTATTGTTCATGCTTCCCAAGGAGAAAAAATTCCCAAACGTTCTGCGGAAGTACCAGCACTGTACATTAAGCCACATACCAAAATTCCTCACATACAGATGTTCAGCCAAGCAACCAAATAGCCCATCAGTACTAGATGCTTACACACATTTTCTTTGATGGGTTTTGCCCTCTTGACAGAAGGAAAATGAGGTGGGCAACTGCCCCTTTAAGGATGGTGATAATTCAGTATGTCTTCACCTTTTTGGTACATGTGCCAGTGTGCTGGAAACTCAGTGAGCACCTCTGCAACAGACTGGAAAACAATCTCTTTTCTAAGCCTGGTTTTGACACTTCCCCATGTATATGTTTTCATCTAACTTCCATGAGCTTGAAAGTTTGCATGTTTCATCCTGGGAGAAGAAAATTTGTGAAGTCTACAAGTTTGGATTAGAAGTCTAACTATTGAGATAGCTAAAGTTTAGTGAAAGGAATCTTATCATAAAGTCTGCAAAAATTCCATCAGGAGAGGGAATGCAAAGAATTAGTGCACAAAGCATGAGGAAGGCAGGGCCACGCACAAGAGGACAGAGATGGGAGTAGAGAGAACAGACCAAGGTAAGCTTTGAAGCTCTTCTTTCCATGAAGAAATTTGACCTTTGCTTTTAATGTAGAAGGCAAAACTCCAATACAGCTCAGAGAGCAGCATGGAGATGCCCAAACTATCTAAGAGGTAGGTAGCACCAGGATAAAGCCAGCATAGCTGGGTCAGTGCAGAACTGTGACCTGGGAAGCTAAATCCATCCTGATCAGGCATTGCATAGTGCTGTGACAGTATTCCCTGAATGCCCTCTGTACAATTAACACAGGCTGCTGAAAATTTGGCTCCTCAGCCACTCTAAAGCACTTTTGGAAATTTTACTAGAAACTTTCAGCATTGGCTCCTAATTAAGTAAGTATCTCATAGAGTTTATAAACTGTTAACGTAGAAGAGTTTTGTAGTCCATCACTAAGGTAACAGGAAACATCATAAAGCATTACGATTCAGAACAGCTCATTAAACGTTCACATTTTAAAGAGGAAAACAGTACAAAAATAAACACAAACTGGCACAGAGCCAAATCCTTCCTTCCACCGTATTTCTGTTTCACTGCCAGTGTAGTAGGAACGCAGTTCTCTGAACATCTACAGGTGCATCTTACGTTCCACTGTGTTTCCGAACTGAATAGAAAAAAGACTCTTGCATTTTTATGACAAACACGCAAATGTGGCTGTTGCTCTGGGAACCATAAGACCACTTATTCCCAGGACGGTTGCTGAGAAATCACCTGAAACCACTTGGTATTCTGTCTAATAAAACCTGCTGGGCAATCAGACTTCAGACAGTCCCACAACGTAAGCACCTAAAAAATGGTCAGATTATGCAAAAGTGTTGCACAGAACTCATTACTGCGCAGGATATTAGAGAGAATGGTTCTCTTGAAGGTAACCACAGAGCGTCCTTGTATCAATCGGCAGAACAGTGATATTTATTTATTTATTTAGACATTTTGGATATGTCATTGAATTTTTAATGTTTGTCTATTTCACATTGCTGGTAAAATATATTTCTTACATGCTGTTCAATTTTTAAACTATACTACTGTATTTTCATATTGCACAGTCCCATTTAACTAATAATATCATTTGTTTCTTCCTGAAAAAAACCAGCACAACCCCCAACAAATTTGGTATTTGGAGGAGCAGGAATTTCCCCATGAGGCAAAATAACTAAACTTATTAGAGTCATAAATACTCTGGCAGTGAGATATATTTCTTTAAACAAGCAGTGTCAGATATCAGAGATACCTTTTCATTTACAGTCTCTGAAAATTTATTCTTCAACCATAAATGTGTACAAAACACACAGAATGTCTCTTCTGCAAGGTGATGGCATTTCAACAAAGCACACCGGCAATACGGTTTGGGAGATTAGTAGCTGTA